CAGACATACAATCAAGCAGTAAACAATACCCTAATCAAGGAACTACCAGAGGGAAAAAAAACAAAACAAAACCCACACCAACACTGGCAGGGCATGCCACTGTATTTAAACAGAGAGCAAACCCCACTCCATTCTAGCACTGAAGATGTTACCTAGCCGGGTAACGAAACATTTGCAAGAAAACAACCAAGCTCAGACAACACCAAGGACTCCACAATTAATCCTATCCAAAGTGCATGGACATGGATATTTGACTTGTCAATATTAAATCTACAATCAGGGCCCTGAAAGCTTAATATACATGATACAGGGTGGAATAATTCAATCATGACTGTATTCCCACCTCAATGTACTTCTCACCTCAAAGGTGCCAGGTTTGCTGCCCTTAATGTCCTCACCTTCTGCTCCTATAGCCAGCCAGTGATTCCTCTAGCTTCACACAGGATAGCTGGATATCATGTGACATGGTGAGAAGGCAGCCCTCTCCAACCTGCTGCCCAGATACTGAGCCAGCTGGGCCCTGAGAATTCTTGATGTTGTGGTCAGAAATAATCTGCAGACCAGGTTGGGAAGTCTGAGTAAGAACTGTCAGACCACTGAGATAGAACTAGAATGCTAATTCATTATAGAAGCAACTCTCTTAGTACCACCAACTCCTCCTGCTCCTTTTTAAGACAATAAAACCTTACTCTGTAGTTCACCATGTTGACACACAGTTACCGGTTTTAACTTATATTTATTACATTATTTCATGAGATATTGTTAACCACTGTGGGGGGTGGGGAGAGAAATTAGAGATTTCTGAAATAATCAAATGTTTTCCAAAGCACAGAAACTGAAGATCTGAACTTCCTGCAATTGATCAGATACCATGATGAAAGTCCCATCTGAAGTGTGCCTGCATTGCATGTGATAAATTTATTTACCCATCACATGAATCAGCAAAGTTCCCCTCAGGGCCTTGTGTCATATAATAACAAATGACCTTTCTTTGGCTCTTAGCCAATTTATACAACCCTTCTTTTGTTAAAATGTTCCCTGAACTAGTTTGTGTTGCCAAAACTGTAACTGAAAGACCTGCCAGACAACCAAGGACTGAACAGATTCATCTCATACTTTAGGGAATATTTTCTAGTTTCAGAGACTGAAGGTTTAGAAATCAGAGCATGGGTTTTGCAAAACATACATTATTCTAGAAATAATATGCTCACCACAGCATTGCCCAACAATTAAAATGATTTGTTTAGGCTTGGACTTCATACCCAGTCTATTATATAATTCCAGTCATATTGACTAAGCAGGATGTATATAAAACACTTGTAAGTCATAATGTGATGGCTTTGGATTTCAGTTAGGTTTCATCTATGCCCAGCACATTGTGATTTATTAAAAAATCTTGGTTAAGCAAACCATGACTTTAGTGCAGCATGTGAACCCAGCCAGTTTGGTAGTTCCTAGCGCCACTACAATTAGCAACTTTAACTGAAAATATTGAGTCCTTATCAAATCATGCTCTCTTTCTGCTAGCTGTATGCCTGAACGTAGGTTCTTCAGTTGCCTGTCAGTCTACAGCCTTATTTATTCCTGTGAGCTAGAAGATTTCTTCTGCTGACTCTGTAGTTCCATCCACACATCCTAGTTATATAGAAAAGCTAAGTGAGTATCACTTGCATAAGTGAAAAGAGAAACATAAGAAATGCCAGAGCTTTGGAATAAACTCTTTTTAACTCCTGTTTCCTCTGGATGTGTTACTATAAAACAACAGTTGGACTGGCAACATACAACATACTAGGCCTAGCAGCAACAAATCCGGGCTAGGTTTTGTGAAAGATGTTGGTTGAGTGAGGCACAGCTTGCCAGGGACTCTGTACCTGTTCTCCCCTAGGAGAAAGTATAAACATCAATTTATAGCAATAAAAATATAAATGGAACAGCTATGTGGACAGAAATATCAAACTAAAGATCATTACTACAGAAAAGCTATTGAACTATATACACATACATCAGATAGAACATACATTGCATCTGACAAGTCAAAATATGCTGTCTGGGAATTTTAGGAACGGACACACCTTGAGAGCATCAGGTTGGAGAAGCTTGATATTACTGAGCAATTTTACTACTAGGGCAAGGAAACCCAAATATATCAGGACAAGTAGGAATTACTTTTCTCCACCATTTTTCAAAACCCTGTGACTGGGACCAATGAGAAGATAACTACATATACCAGTTCCAGAAATGATATACAGTATATTCTATCTTATAGGCATCTAGGGACTGGAAGGGCTCATCCATCCACAGCGAACTTCCCAATCTACACTCCGTTTGCTTCTTCCAACACCAGAACTCAATAGAAAAAAAGCAATGGTCTCTGAGGCTTCTACAGAGCCTATGAGGAGGCATTTGAGGCCAAATCTCCCATTAGAGTGGGAGAAGAATGCTCTCTCTTTCCATTAAATTGGGAGATTCAGGCTATTGTATTATATTATTGTATTATTGTTCAGGGACATCCTCCTGACCAGGACGTCCCACATGATTGCAGCCTTAAGTACATTTCAGTTGCAAAATAAATTGAGGCTTGCAAATATTTGACTGGAAAACATCCAAGACAGGTTTTAAAGTTCTTAAATAGCCAAGTTATTTGTACAAGTATGTGTATATGCATGCGTTTATGTATGTGAGAACCAGTTTGGTGCAGTGGTAAGGTACATACCTTGTGTTCAGGTTCTCCAGGCTTCAGATCAATACTGAGGTATGATTCAGGTTTTCTGCAGACATTTCATCCCATGCCTTATGAGGCTTCTTCAGTGCAACAGTTCAGCTGGGGTGTATATGTGTCTTAAAATATTTGTAATCTGTGTAAGATTTGAACTGGGTGGTAGTGGTTGGTGATAAAAGGTCTTCTGGGAGGTGTTGAAGTTGTTGGGAGTGGTGTTATCTCCAGCTTGATTGGCCTTTCTCATCTTTTTGTTGTAGATGTGGGTCTGTGTGTTTTTGTTGTGGGTGACCAACCACATCAATGAATTAAGGAACCCAAAACTGCAACAAAGAACCAATATTGAAAAAAATCTAATAGCCACCCTTAAAACTAATCACACAATCAAATGGGAGAATATGAAATCAAAGACCACACAAACAGCAAGAAAGCCAGAAAATTTCTAAAAGCCTGGCATTCAAGTAAATGGGTCATT